ATATACTTCATCACACTCCAATTTCAGGTGGCTTCTATTTTCTTTTTGAGTTTCACTCGTTACCTGGGGGTTTTTCTCGCGATTTCCTGTTTTCACCGATTTCTAAAATCATGCATTCGTTCACATCCCACTAATCCACTATTTATTGGAACCATTCACGCGACATGTTTAGCTTGTAGTTTTCCTTTCTTTTTCTATTTCACTCCTTTTCTCATCCACTCTTTGGGGAAGGGGGTAAACGAATGATTCAGAGGATAATCATCGGATGCTTCTTGGCAAAAGCAAAACATACTTAATTTTGGTTTTCTTTTCCAGTTTCCAATCACATTCTTGCAATTACTCTGGAAATTGACTAAGCGCGGCGGCCGCGGCTAGCCCTGGACGAGTTCCACCTCGCCATAAACAGCTGCAATGTTAGAAATAAATAATTTCCTTTTTGAGACAGAAAGTGTTCTAAATAGGTGGTAAGGTTATATAGACTAGGTTAATAGGATGAATAGACAAAGTTATATTTAAGTGTGGTATTAATAATACTAAGCTCAGTCAAGAAGAATTGGTTTGAACATATAACTTTATTATACTGTGAGGAAAGGGGAAGAATAAGGACCAGTTGAAGAGAACAGGTTTGGTAGGGGTGTTCGTTCCTTTAAAAATAAGCATAATTATAAGTTAGTTATGCTTAATTTTCTGTCTCCTAGATTCTCCATTGGATATTTTCATGTTCTCTTTAAATCTCATAACTTCTATATATACAAATTAATATAAACATTGAATTTCACAGTTAGAACTTTCTGGTCCAACAGACAGAAGGACTATAAATAAAGACACTAACTGAAGATTCCTATACTTTATACTGTAAACAACATATTAAAACTAATGTCATCATTTTTTACCAATGCTCGGAAACAAAAGTGAATAAATCTTATGAATTTGTAGTAGAAAGCTCATTCTGTAAATAAACTAACCAAAAAAGACAAAGACAAATGATACAACACTACATACTAAGTCTAATGGATTCAGAAAAATTCTAGTGAGACATGGTTAAGATGTAGATAAAGAAAAAGAAAAACAGACCCAATAGAGAACAAAAAAACAACACATATTTCACTCTGGATTGAATTAAATTATTACGGTGTCCACTGGATTTCAACAATCTAATTTCAACTCACTGAAATTAAGTTCCTTGTATGTCTACTCAGCTAATTTTAACCGATACCGGTAAGCTAAATTCCTAGATTATAGCCCATATGACTTGAAGTCTACCAGATTAATTTTATCTCACAGAATTACATACAGACTGATTCATTTATTATCATTTGAAGAATGAATAGGATTAGTTTTCCTGTTGCACTATCTTTCATGCTATATATAGTACTAATTTTAACCCAATGAAAGTAAATTTCATATGTCTGCTGGCTTTACCTTGTCTACTGGGCTAGGCTTTTAATCCACAGTTTCTTTCTTTGTCTACCTGGATAAACTAACTTATATATGGTAACTCTTTTCTTATTTATATACTTAATTATTCTATATATATTCCAACATTAAATTAATCATGGTAAAAGCAAGGTATAGGAAATCAATTAAAAAAGTCTATTCTAGTTTAGCCCCCTGAACATAAAAATATATATTAATATGTTTGTTTAAGCTATACTTAATCTCTTGCAACATACCTTCATTTTAACATATATTTTCTTGGATGACTAGTGCTAATTCATATCTTATTTTCTGGCAGGTTTATACCATTAATCAAAAGTTTATCAGTCGATCAATCACGCAATCACACAAATTATGAATTAATTAATCATAGTAATAATTTATTAATCAATATTACACATCTATCAATAACGTATGAGCTTACCCTATCTGATGTGTTATACTTCATTCTGTTTCCTTAACATCTAGTAAAATGCATCAAATTACAAGAAAGAGGAACAATAAAACAACTGAGGGTTTATTCCCAGCAGGTGCCATTCCAAACCACTGAAATTCATGGCATATTAGTCATTAAAACAAAGCCAAGCAAGCTATTAGGCACCACCTATAATCATCAACAATTTCAAAAGAGTACAAAACATAGGCTTTGTGTGGGGAGGGGGGGAGGGTTAAAATTGAAGGCAAAAGTGAATTTTTATGAAAAAGATAAAAAGAAGTCCAAAATTTGAGGGTGAGGGGTGAGGGAGGAGGGAGGGGTCATAGAAAAGAGTATGTTCTGTTCTCTTTTATATGTTTGAAAATAACTTTTAACAAATATCTATTATTTTCTTGTGTTTTCATGTTTTACAGTTACATGTTTTCTTCTTTCTATTTCTACTATATTTAATCGAACCATCATTTCTTTGTTGGATGTCCTTGAAGTAGATCCATCAATGTTTTTCCTTCCCTGTCATTCACTAGATGCCAATCTTAGTCAATCACTTGTCATTTTATCTGCCGCTCATTCATTTTATTAATGCGATCACTCCCTCTGTCATTCTTTATTAACATTTTATTTCTTTTTATTACTCATTAATTTAGTAAATTGTTGAATAATTCAAACTGTCGTCCCATATGTCATCCACAAATTATTTTTGTTCCTATTTATTTTTATGGGATATTTTTTGTTTCATTATAAACTTAAGTATAAAAGAGAACGAATGAGTGATTGATTGATTGACAGATTTGTAGATTGATTAGTCTTTCTATCGTATGTCAGAAATTTGTACACAGATATTTACAGACTTTCTATGATTGCTCAACATTCTTTTCAAGTATTTTCCCTAACGGCAATCAGGACTTTGAATAACCCATTAGGAAGATAAGTAAGAAATTTCATATACAAAATACATAAATAAAATTAGGACTTCTTGTTGGGTATATAAGATATAGGTCAATTCCATACCTACATGTACACATCCATGAGCCTCAGTACTTTTAGACACTTGGATCCCAAAAGCCTTTAGTGGTTTTAGTCAACTTATATGATCCTACCTGAATGCACAGGTAGGCACTTGAGCCTCAGTACTATTAGTAACCTTAGATGATCCTACCCAAATGTAGATTTTTTTTTTTTTTTTTTTGGAAAATGATTTGCATTGATGGATGTATTCTAAATCATAAAATTATACTGAAAAAATAAAATCAGACTTAATGCCTATGATGACTCATATTTAACTATAAATTTACAAATTTATAATATATTTTTAAGAAAAATTATACTTTTTATACCTTTCTCAAAAAAATAAAATGTTGAACTTGAATTATTAAAAACAGCTTCCGTACGATGCTAGCTGGAAGGTTTAAAGAATTGGACCGAGAACAATATTTCCTGCTAGGTACTGTAATAGGAAGAATGATAACAATCCATATTTTTTATAAAACAATAGTGAACCAGTACTTTCACTTTGTGATCCGTAACACATCTTAAGTTTGACCTTTTAAAAGGTACTAAGTAATGCACAGTTTGTCATGGTAGGAAATATGTATCGATGGCGTTTTCAAACGCAGGTAAACTACGTACTGTATCAAATGTCCAGAAGGCTACTGCAAATGGTAAAATGTAAGAAAATATACAAATTTCATGAAATAAAATTTAGTTATATAATTTTATATTTAATATTTGGATACATTTTACCAACATTTATCTTGTACAATTTGCAAATTATATGAACTTTTTGTGACCGTGATTTTAGTTTTCTTGTCGGTTTTTTTTTTTTTTTTAGTATATCCTATGTTATACTTTTAGTCATTTTGGGCTGGGCCCCTTGAGAGACTAGATCTACTGAACAGTTTTCCTAGTAAAAAATAATAAAGAAATATATAAATACTTAAATCCAAATATCACTTTACAAATCTTATCTAACAAACGCATATTTGATTGATGATCTTATTTTATCCCTATTAATTCCGATCAGCACTCATAAAATCAAACTACACTTTGCTATATATTCCAACACAAACTGGAAAGCACCCATAATTCCTTTAAGTCCAATAAACTGTCAAAAAATTACACTTGACCAACGAAACAAACTCATATCCTAGAAATTAACTTGAAACATATGCGAGGAAAAAGTTAGTTGGTAAAAATAAAACGGTGGTTTCCTGTTCTTACATCACAATGAGTATTATTCTGTGCAATCAAAATGAAACATGCGAATGAGAGATCAAATCCAACTCTCAACGGACTTCAAACTCAGCTCGAAAAGTGTATTCTATTTTCAAAGAAAATGGTTTAAATCGAGAACAATATCTTCAAATGATGATGATTATCTACATCTATAATCTGCCAGTAAGTAGGAAAAATTAAATCAATTTTCTTCAGGGAGAAAAAAAAAAAAATGAACACGGTAAGAATTGACACCGTGTTACTCCCAAGCTTGGTGACAGGAAGTCTGTTTAAGAAGAGGAAGTCCACATTTGTAATCGCAAAGGTACATCAGCAAATGTGAGAGGTATTTAGATTGTGTCACTGTAAAAAGACCTACAGTACTCCAAAGCGGGTTGTTGCCAATAAAAATAAGCCAATTATCAACAGAAACAAGAATACACGAGATATATTCACATCAAGTTAATGCTTACAACTGCAAGGTGTTATATATGAATCGGAAATATAATTCTACCTTGACATTACAGTTATGGTTTATATAAAAGGAAAGGGTGCAGTCGAATAGAGCTAACACCAAGCTTACAACAGGATACTATTAATACAGCAGAGGACTAACATAATTTGAAATTTCACAGCATAGATAACAGTACCACAAAAACCACAGAAGTTATTGCATGCTCTACATGTGGTTGTACGGTAGAACTTTTTAAGAATTTGTTTCCAGGACACACTTGCCTGTTTTGGTCGACACTTTTTCTTTATCAAGCCTGTTACATTATAAAATTTGCACTAATTTAATTGTCAACTTTCATTGATGTTGAAATAAAAAAATGCAGAATTTAAAAAAAAATGTATCAGTTATTTTCAGATATGATTTTTGAAAAAAAAAAAGAGTAAGAGATAATAGAGAACATACCTCTTTAGGTTCCCCATGTAGCTCCACATGAAGACTGCCATCAAGGGTATGTCGGCCCTTCCTTTCTTGCGCATGACGACGGCGTTCTATAGTCCGGCGACTGGGAGATGGCGACTCGCCATCCAACAATGACTTGTTGAATTTAAACTTGCTTTTACTTGAGGCATCAATGCGATTGAGTTCTTCCGTAGAAATGTGAATATTGTCATTTTCCGCACCTTGCTCGATCAGTTTCAGTGAATTGCGGCGCTGCGTTTCTTGAGTTGGTGTGTTTTTTCGCGAGCCTGAATCTGAAACTGGCGAATCCTTTATGGGCGAGTCTCGAATCTGACTGTCATTTATTGGACTACTATGTCCTGAACTGCTTTCCCTGTTACTACGTCGTTTTAAGCGAGAATAATCGTTCACATTGTTGTTATTCCTGTGCAAGCAAGCATCAGAGGGAACTAATCTGGTTGGAGTGTCCGAAATCTTATCATGGCAGTTTTTAGGTACATTTTTAGCAGAACATGACCTGCTAAGCTTAGAGCCTGTTTCTTCCAGTTCATCACGAACATGCCTTGCGGAAGCTGATCGCTTTAGCCTCGACTTACTATATGAGCTCTTTTTCTTCCCCTTAGAAACACGAGACATGTCTTCATTATTTTTCTTATGTTCTTGTCGTGGTGAAGGTGAAGAGAGTGAACTCTCTCTAGATCTCCCGGAATGATTTTTCTCACTCCTGAAACACTGGTCATCACCACTGTCCAATTCAGAGGAGCTAAAATCGAGTTCTATACTTTTGGTTGAGCGTAAAGAGTTCGGTCTTTCAAGTCTTTTCACAAGCCATTTCTCTACATCTTTTTCCACGCTGGTCATCCCATACCCATCGCTCCAGCTTCGGTTGTGGTTCTCGTCTTTGACTTTCTGAAGGTCATCAGAAAATGACTTTTCAGGGTCAGCATCGCTTTTCCCGGGAGGGCAGCTAATAGAGCGACTGATGTCTTTCGAAGGCTCTTTTTTAATTTTATTGATGTCACTTTCAGTTCTTGACAATGGCTGTTTTATTACTACCTGAGTTCGTTCACTTGATTCAGTTTTTTGAGAATTATCGGTATCCTTAAAAGAAAACACACATTTTGTAAACTGTTAGAGATTTCATCAATTTAAAAATTAAAATCATATGTTCAATAAAAAACAACCAAGATGTTTATCAGTTTACCCTGCCAGTTGCCATTTATACTGCCCAAAACAGACACTTCTTTTGATTTTTTATCAACAGTGAGCTGTTAGGAATCCCGTACTGGGTATTGAGCCAATGATTCTAATTCAAAGTATCATTCAAAATTATTATTTTTAATTAAAAATTATTATAGTGATTTAAAATGAATTTACAAAGTGCTCGAGGTGTGGACTAACTCGTCCAGGTAACTTGCCTGAGGGTAGCTTTGTGTCGTTACCAGCTACTCTTTCCTGTCCACACAGGGAATGTATGGACCAGTAAGCCGGGGTAAACCCCTTATTATTAAATCATCTCCATACTTACTAGGTCTTTTTTTGTCATGGGATACACTGCTTTCTTTTTCTTGTTTTGCCGTTCGGCTTCTCGGTTCATTTCAGGATATTCACCTAGGATTTCCAACCAACTGGAAAATATCCAAAAATTCTTTATCATAAAAAATAGGAAATAATTTAATCTCTTTCACTATTTCCTAAAATTAATTGCATATTAATATGTATTTCACATATAAGAAAAAGAGTTATCTGATCTAGGTCACAAAACAAATATGGTAGTTGAATTTGAAGATTGAGCAAGTAATCAATGTGAATTAATCACAGATAAACATGTATGTTTTTTAGTACAAGGGTTTTGGACCCCTCGACTTTGTGCATGTCATCATCTTTGAATTATTCTGTATGATGTAATACTGGTAACAATGAATCTGATCTAGACAGGCCAAAGATGAGAGATATGAAATTTACCACTATATATTTTTAGGTGCTATTGCAGTGACTTAAAATTCTTAAAGTAAAGATAGGAGAATAACCAATAACTTGCAGAGTCACTGTGCTGAATTGCGTATGGGCGTGGTCTGTTACTACCTAGCAGCCATAAAGAGGTGCTTTTAGTAGCTACATATATTCACATAATTCCACAATGACAGGGACTGAAATGGACCATATCATTGGGGTAACCCTCTAATCTTCCAGAAGATGCAACTGGTCCTTTGATGTGCACATGAGCCAGATGTGTACACAAGACCTCCATTTTAAGTCCTTTTTCTACCAACTGACTGTAGTTAGCATCGCCCCTGGAGTACCACTCAGCCGCTTGACTCGCCAAATGTTGTAAAAAGGAAAAAAAAGTGGGACAGTTTAACACAAAAAAGTAATGGTTGAAAATAAGAACCACTTACTTGGATTTAACTTACCAAACACTATACTTATCACTTGTATAAATTTAGATTCATAAAATAAAAACTTCAAAAAAGTTTGTTATCTTTACATACCACAATATCACTTAATTTAAACTAGGTCAAGTTTAAGAACTTTCTTAAGAGATGATAATTGAAGCTTTCTCAACAGAGGGCTCACTTTAATTTTCATGTTGGCAATACAGGAAAACTGTTTTGTTGATAAGGATTGCTGTAATTCTTGAAGTTAACAACACATCATCACAGATTTGAAGTGGGCCCTCTGTTGATAAGGTTTATTAATATTAATTCTTTGGATGACACAGGTACAATGATGTAGTATTGTGTGTATTCCAAGTACCGGTATACTAAGTTAGGTACAAGTTATAACGTAGGATATGTTTGCAAAGTTGATAAAATTGTCGTTCCTATAATTCCTGATAAGAGCCTGATGAATGAATGTGAATTTAATGTATTAATTTTATAATGCAGAGGGCTACACTAGTCAGAGGGCCTTTCTACAGTAAATTCATTTTGCTTTTTGACAATGCGCCAGAATAATGCTGGGTTTATTCATTTCTTTTTTTGTTATTTTTCGTAATTTTTACCCCTATCTGATCTGAAAGATGAAATGAATGAATGAACAAACAAATTGATATATGTGATATATGAATGAATGAATGGATGGATGAATACTCCTAGTTGTTAATGTATTAACAATAAAATAATTGGTATATTTAAAATAATATTCGAGTCCACAATTACTATTATTATTATTATTATTATTATTATTATTATTACCACTAACATCACTATATACAGTTTCATCCTTACCTTTCTCTCTCTTCCTTTGTTTCTGCACGTATATAAATGATTTCTTCTGTAGTAGTGATTGCTAAGGAGTAGAGTTGTCCAGTAATATGATCTGAATTATTGATATCAACACAGGTATACATGTTTATACGTCCCTGCGGAATAGTTGCTGGCTGAAAAATATCAATAAAAAAAAAATTATTAATTATATAAGTAATTAAAAAAAAATTCATGTATGTTATGTTGATATGTCCCTGGGTAACAGCTACCAGCTGAAAAATATCAATCAGCAAAAACTAATTAATTATTATAAAATACTAGTAATCTCATCAAACAATGATATGAATCTGTTTATAACAACTTATTTTGTTAATAAACAATTATTTTAAGGTGAAAGTTTCAAATAGAAAAAATGCAATGCTGCCCTCTATAGCTTACTTTGGTGAGGTATAATGAAGTATTTCAACAGAGGAGAGACTGTACAAATATAGTAACATTGACATCATATACCAATAGTACACTTTCAATATGTGAAGAACGTAAGATAAAGAGGCAACGGAACTAGAATGAGGTGTGTGACAATGCATTGAGGAGCATCTCGAATTTAGGTGGGAGTGGGAGAAGATGGGATAGACAAAATTAAGTTGGTTGTTAGGAGACGAGACGTAAAGCCAGGAAGGGCCACCTCATGTACTGAATGTGGGTGCCGAACATTGGTGGTTTGGGGAGGTGGAATTTTATGAAGATGGTAATGCGTAATCTTGCGTTTTTGTGTATTCCGCCAAATCTCTATGCATAACCATGAGATCAGCATTCAAAAATTGTTATTGCTACGCAAATTCTTGCCAGAGCGCGTTCCGGGAGCATTGTGTCTATATTATTGTAATTTTCATTCATAATTAAATTTGTTTTTGTAATAGATGACATCAATAAGAACATTAGAATACATGTAAAAAGCAAAAATCTTCATTAATCATCTAGGAAAATAAGGAATTACAATTATATATATTATATGTATATATAACTTATATATACCTAAAGTACAAATAATCCTTCCAGCTTGAAAAAGCAAGCTGGCAGAGCAAGCCTTCAATATTAAAGCTAGCTCCTACTAAAGATGTAGCTTACTACTTATAATAAACACAAGAATTTTAAATGGAAAAAGATAATACTATGGCAAAAGAAAAAGCAGTTGGTTCATCTCCTAAACACAAAGAGACAGATAATGCTGAATATCAAAATCCTAAAATAGATAAAACACAAAGAAAATATACCAGTAGATAAAGCTGATGAGTACCAATTAGATTAGACCATATTACTATGAACAATAACTGATAATATCGTCCTGAATTTATTGAAACTTTTCCTAAGACTGTCATATATACAATACCTACTTGTCACAATACTGTATCAAATAGTGTTATTACCTTGCTAGAATTAATTTTTATGCAGATATTAAATCACTATATAACTTGTGAAATTTCCTAACTGGACGCCGATAAGAACAAAATTCTTGTCATGACATTTAAATGTTTAACAGGCAATGTTTGCTATTATTAAAACAATTTCTTTTATCAATTAAAATTGTAACAATACAAGCAAAGTCAGGGCCTTGTCAAGGATTTCTTAATAAGATAATTTCTTATGATAGCCATAGAGGTCTAACTACTGGGTTCTAAAAGAGTTCTTAGGGAAGGGGGATGGAGGGGTTGGTCAATATAGCTTAGACAGACCTTATAAAATCTTTTCATACAATATTTGTACTAATAGTTACAAAGTGCTCAAGGTGTGGCCTAGCTCGTACAGTAACTTGTTTCTTCCCTAAGGGTCTCTTTGTGTCTGAGCTACCTGTTAAACTGGTATCAGCTCTATCCACAATCTATTAACCTATTCCTTCATGTTGAAACCTTGCATAATTTCAATAATATATTTTTCTGAAAAGTTCAGTAAAGTTGAATGCTGGTTGTATTTTCATGAATGTTCTTTTAAATCTAGTTCTATATTCACTGATATTCAATAGAATGCCAAGAAACAGACTGAAAATTTGATTTATTTTTTTATTCACTTTTATTGCTTCCTAAGGTACCCTTAACTTGGATGATTGTGTATTAACTTCTGAATTAATGTGCATTTGAACCCAACAGATGTTGGTAAGTTAAGTGTTTATCTTAACAATAAACACACCCCTCTGGTGATGGTTCCCTTGCATTTATTCAAACGCAATATATAAAAATAGAAGTTGTTTACAGTGTAGGTATAGTAACAAGACATAAACCAAAGCAAGATCTTATGGGAACCCTAGTAAACTTCTTCAAGGGTATAACAGTCGTGAACTTTCGCCTTTGTGAACAAGTAATTTTCTACATGGCTAGCGAAAGCAAAACAAAGAGGAAAGTTAGAACGGTATTTTAAAGCCTCCATGCTGGTAGAGCAAATGCAATGTAAGGTGGACCTGTACGCAAGTATTGTTTTGGTTTTTACTCAGCAATGTTGATTGAATAACCAAAGTTATTTCAGCTTTTGTTGTCGAGTAATCAGGTGATCGTCATGAAGGGTTCTGCTGAAAGAACTGCAATAGAATAATAAGCAACTTTTTTGACTCATAATGCTTCACAGAAAGTTAACGATTTTAAGTGTGCCTCGTGTTTAATTGGATTAATTATTTGAAGGTATGTTCTAAAAATAAAACCGCAAGAAACACAACAAGTAGGATGCATTATACAACCAAATAATTGGCATAAATGCAGGAGATGTGCGAGTACAAAAAAAAAACATCGTCATCCAACAAAAAAATAACCATAAATACTATTACTTATTTTATACTTTAGTAGAAGGGCAACTACTAAACAAAGGGGATTGTTGCTCAAAATTGTGCCAACTAAATAATATGCACCCATAAACTACCTCAAGATAAACCATACAATAGGCTTCCTAACTCAGAGTAAACCTAGTAAAACGCTTTTTTTATAATACAAGAATGCTAATAAATGCTGCAGTGCAAGAATTCCAGTTGTGGTTTTATAGTCAAGATGCCTGCCTTTCAATTCTGTAGTCATTGGTTCAATCTCTTAGAAAGTTAATCAACTTTCAATGTAATTTATAATGGTTGAACACTGTGTGCTTCATTAACATTTGATATGTATGCATAGGTTGACGACCTGACAACTGCTTCTGGCACACTATCATAAAATTAATTTAAAATTATTCATTAGTTTAATGTAGTAATTGAAAGCTGGAGGCACTGAAACAACTAGTACTAAAGACTCATTTAAAATGTATACATTTATCAAAATTCATCATAAAACATTGAACCGATTCATAGTCACAGGTGATCAGATGAAATCAGATACCTTTACTAAAACTTTAAAGTTAGGCTCCAGAGGCAAACAATTTTTCTCAAGTTGTACAGATAAATTTTCTAAGACAAGTTTCAAGATGTAGGCCCCTAGACAAGAATGGATTTTTGAGAATCAAACTACAGTAACTGCGGGAAATAGGTGTACAGTACATCACTTTCTGTTCAATATTGTAGTTGGTAAATTTGTTATGCGAGTCTCTCCATCACACATGAAAAATGCACACAGCATACCACCATGTATTAACTATCCCTTGCTATATTTTTTTTCCAACGGCAAGCTGTATATCTGTCGTTAAAGTATCAGTAGTTACTTGCTTTACATACTACGGTAGAGTACTTCTATCAGCAATGCTCTACATATTGGTGACATGGTTTTTGGCCTAAGGTTTTGATGTAATCTAATTATCATTTTAATTAATTATTAGATATAATTACAAAAATATCAATAATATCTTTTGAGAAAAAATGTAAAACATTTGCGAAAATTTCCCAGTTCATAGCATTTAGGCAACCATGTGCAAAATTATATAAACCTTTAAATTCTATCAATCTTTAAACTTAAAAAAAAAAAATTTATTTACATTTTGATTACATTTTTTCTTATGATGTTCTTTTTTAGACACCGTTCCTTGAACGCTATTTTTGATGTTTGCGCTTTAAAAATCCTTATTATTATTATTATTATTATTATTATTATTATTATTATTATTCTCAATTATGTTGTATTTATCTGTGCTCATAATAAGTGTGAAGAGATGCAAAGCAGATATAGTGTGTTGCTGCAAGACACAGGTAAGTAACCAACCTTGGGTTCAAACTGCCAACTTCTGAAAATTAAACCCAAAGTTATGGCTATGTGCCACATTATTTTGTTATTGCAAATTGATTTGGTTTTAATTAAAACAATTTTGCACAATACTATTACTTCAGAGGCATACTATAATGTAGTAGGCTTTATGAAATATAATGTTCCTACCTCAGGCACTTGTGTTAATACAGTACTGTATGCACTCATATGCAATGGTAGACAGACTGCAATAACAATGTACTTGCATAGCATGTAGACAGGATTTACTAGCCTCACCATCTGCTCAAGTTTTTTTTTTTAAATATCTGACATCCCTGGATAAGGATGATTTATAAAGTCTTGAGCATGTTATAAAATGTAATCATTGAGATACTTAAAATAATCTAAATCTTTTGAAAGAAAGTTATTAATCATAGAGGGTTCAAAACAAGGTTTGATTTCCCATTATACAGTACTCATAATAAGTATTCTTCATATAAGATTATATAAAAAGGTCCCAAAATTTAAAGAAAAAAAAAGTTTACATTTTCCAAATGATCATAATTTAATTTAGCAATGTCCATTCAATTGAAAAAAAGAAGATAATTCTAACACGTTTTTTTTTTATTTTAAGATTTTCACATGAGATGTACTAAAAGGACTCCATACTTTATTTTTAGAGTCTGTTTACATTTAAATGTTTATTCCATATTTCGGAATTTCCTGAATCATTTCACACTGTGCGAGCCTTAGTAGCCAATTAGTCATTAAATGCAAAACTCTTTGAGATCACGCAAATGTGGTCAATTCTAAATGATTCTACACTCGTCTTAAGAATGAAAATAATAACTCATACCCACGTCTGAAACTATAAATGGCAATTTTTAGTAGGCCTACTTTAGGTAGTACAAACTTCAGTAGAAGATATGATGCACAAATTGTATTTGCAAATATCAAATACTGTATGCATGCACTTTATACCCTTAAGCATGAAAGCTTATGTTTCTATGTGATTCTCATATCAAATGGATGATAATTTATAAATAGGTCCATGTAAATTTAATGGCTGAACTAACTAATATGGTAAATAACATGAGTGACCATCCTAGTTATAATATAGAGTTACTAAGCAATTGAGTTATTCATACAAAGCCTATTTGGATAGCAGTGGGTATACTACATAGGAATAATTGGACATTTAATTGCGAAAGCGATCAAAACCTAATATTAACTGTCACCTTCACTAATAGAAGATCACATTAATTAGATTACGTGTCTAACCATACTCAATTTTAGATAGACTGTAGTCACTGTATATATTACAATAAACGCTCCTTAATATTTAGATGGTTTAAAGACCATAGAACATGACTGTTGTAGACGATTAACACTAAAACTATGATTAGTAATCAATTTATATTGTATTCAAAATCTGACAAGCTCTTTACAAAGTCAGACATGCTTTGCAAGAATAGTTCTATAGATCAATGTATAACAAACAAAAAAAGTGACAGACAAATACAATACTACATACAAGCAATCCTGATGATGACATAATTTATGTCAAAATATTGAATCCCGACATGATTTTGATACTTGGAGTATTACTATACTATCTTATCTGAGATTAATCAGTGGACCTTTCGGTACATACAAGCATCTAATCAACAAAATACAGCAATGTGATTTAACAATATCTTAAAAAACAATTTGAAATAACTTTAAATATGATTCAACTAAAAAATGTCTCATACGTAGGTGGAGTAACCAAAAAGGTCAATAATGTTCTATCAACTTTTTTTATCGATAAAAAAATTGGATCATCCAAAAGAAACTAAATCAATGTTTATGATATCACAGATAGGAATCCTAACAACACTACTGCACATGCTTTCAAATTACGTGGATTGAATGATTAGCTGAATCAGGAAGAAAATTAAGAAACCGTAAAAGATACTCCACGACTCACTCACTGAGTACATGATGTAAATATGAACATACATTACTACTCTACTTCAACCATATCAAAATGAATCCAAAGTAATCCTATTTAATCTGTTTAATCCGGTTGAACTGATAGATCAGTTCACAGCCCTGATCCTAATCAACCTCCAGAGTCCATCAATCAATCAAAAGTGACAGGTAATATCGTAGTAAGAATGAAGTACACACGTCAAGACCTCATCGTACGTGTTAAGACCACGTAGACAGGGGCAATGTAAGGCTATCATTACGAGGATAATGTACATGGATTAAGATGATCACTATCATATTAATCTTGCTACAGCTATAGGAAGGTAATTTAGGCCAGTGTCATAGAAATCTAATGAAGGACTAAAAATAATTCCACTCCTCAATTCTAATAGACATTCCAATTAAATAGCTCTCACTTTTTTGTAACCTGATGAGGGATAAAATAGTTCTACTATACAAAGCACAAAAAAACAAACAAGAGACACCAATTTCTACATCAAAGATACACACATGATTATTAAGACTAGAGATAAACTACGGACATTTTCTACCGCAAATAAAGACATCACAAAAATAGGAAAATAAAGGCCGGGTTCGTTCATTGCATCTGGCCAGTATTTGAGTTTTGGTTTACTTCCTCCATAATATGAAAATATATTACGTGTTTTGATGATGTTTTGATGTATATATTTTGTGATTCTGAGGTTTTCATGGAAATTAAGATTTATTTAACAACTTCAGACAAATCCAAATGAACAAATAAGGGATCAACCGTAGAGATCTCTAGGTCCCCGGTTCAATTCTTATTGCTGCCGCTCCTTGTGTTTCAGTTGGAAGGCTAAAATACGAGTTACAATAGCGCACCGTCTTTCAGATGAGAGGTTTAAGCCGTTTGTCCTGTGTGCATTTATGGCCCATGTGCATGTTAAAGAACACAGTACACTTATCAGAACTGCCCAATCCCCACCAGAAGGACCCCATTGGAAATAAGTTTTCTTCTACATTTCGTAGGCTATCCCAGAGTCACTATTCGATTTTATGATTGTCTCGTCAAGTCTTCCGATCTGAAAATTTAATCAGCGTTGTTGAGAGCAGTCAGGGTTAGCAAGTAGACCAAAGAAAACCAATGTGTACCTTACACTAAAAAGTATATTACTGTACAGTATCTGTATGCCTATATATATCCTGCATTGTACAAAGAACCTACATACAATAGATATTCTGTACATTGTATTATATAATATAACGTCTATTTCTGTACATGGTTTACATAACAGTAACTTAATAAGTCAATTTACCATCCTGCATTGTACATTGTATCCATAGTAACAGTAGTATAGCATAAGCAACTCTGCTTTTTGTTGTTCTTTGTGTTCTTTTGTATTACACCTCAATGCTATGTTTTTTTTTTTGTATTTTCACTTATAAAACATGTAAAGGTGATCCGACGGTCAAGAGACTGGCCTTGCCTAGGCAGGAAATGTTCCATTGGATATTTTCCATTGGATATTTTCTTAGCAAACAAATTACGTTCAAGTAGTTAAAAGTCACTTAAATACCATACTATTTTACCAGCAGGTGCCCCTTACTTATTCATTTAGACTTCCCACTTAACCTTGACCTTTCCCCCTAAGAGGTAGCACCCTCAGGTCAGTAGTACTAGTAGATACACCACTGCTAACTGCACTATAAGCGAATCAATCTTCAAATAGCTGAGGTACAAATTCTAATTGAAAATTTCTAAATTTACCAATGTTCAGAAATTGAGCTCCGTTCTTTCTATTCATTAGAATTTTTATAATGATCTGAAGATGAGCCAATAAAGTATCGTTCATTTTATGTTAAGAACTTAAAATATTGGGTTTTAAAAATTGTAAAAACATAGAAAACAGAAATAACATAAACATTTTTTGTTTAACAAGAAGTCACTACAAAACCGTAAAAAAAAAAACAATATTCAAATAAAGCTTAGAACTTATTTTGAAGAGGTTTGTGAATTTTTTCTATATAACATCTTGGAAGACCACCAAATTGTAGATACTTCAGACGAAGTAATTACATTTTACAAAAGCAATGAAATGGTATAAGTAACCATGGCTGAATTTCAGATCAAATTAAACATCCAAATATGCAAGGCTGTATCAAAATATTAAATGGATGCTTTAACAAAACCAAGGTAAAAACAGCACTTACAATGAAACTTGACCTAATCATGGTGAAACCTGTTGTTATACTACAATCAACACTGCTGATATTTTTCTATACTACTTTAAAAGAGAAAACTGAGTAATCCCTTACAAATATAGTATTTATTTGTTGTAATGTACCTTTACTTCAAGGACTATAAGACATCCTTCAGTTGACATTCAATCTCTGTAAACAGTATAATGACTTTTCTTTGAGGAATTTCAAGCAAAATTAATATTATACCTATGAGACTAAAAATCTATTTTAAAAATAACCATAAAAAATATTCAAAGTAACATTGAAAATTTACCAACCAGTTCATCTTTCACTCCAACAAGTGCAACAATCATGATGATTGCTAAAAACAACCTTAAAATCCTAAATTAAAAGAAATCAGTTCATCCACAACCTACTGTACAACTCTTGTACATGCAATGACAGCCAAACCTACTATCACTGCTCTATAATGCCTAGTTTTGTCCTATTTTGGGGTCAAATATTGTACAGGTAATCTATTCATTTAAATCATTATTAATTCATGTTTTGAAATCAAGGCTTCTTCCTCTTCTTTTGTGACCATTTTATAAGCTGCTCTTGTTTGGACGCAGTGTAATAAATAGCCAACAATGCAAGTGAATCGACAACGGAACTTGTTCCGATACGCTGCTACGATACCTTTGTTTCCCATCAACAATGACCGTGTCATTCGGATTACAGACTTTATATTACTGGGCACAGACTGTGCCATTTTTTTTGTATCATTGTCCAAAGAATAATCCACTAACATTCCCTGTCTTAGCGGATCTTCTTCGATGACAGATGGGCTTTAAAAATCGTGAACACATGAATAAATTGTGCAGATTCAATGCCTAAATCTCATACTAACTTTCATTAGATTATCAGGATTTGATGAATATCATTCATATACAGCACAAGCCAAAAACAGTTTCATGTCCAGATTTGTTTTTTAAGCCAGTTCCTTATTTTATAATACTTTAAAAACAAAAACCTAGGCAATCCTACAAAAAAATTAATCATCCTTAGAAGCTTACTGTAGGCCTACTATACTGTGCACTACACCACAAAGAATGCAACTTTGTGTGTTGTGGCCCTTTTTAGGGAAAAGACCCTCATCTATACAATGCACGATTTTATTAATCTGAAACTTACATTTATGCATAATTACAATTTTCTTTCTTTTCCTCATTTGTATAATTTCTTGGAATTGTATTGCTTTTGGTAATTTCCTTAATTTTAATTCATTAATATTCAATTTATTTCATTAATTCATTTTGAGGTCATAAACATAAGCTGTCAAGCTACTTTAGCATGGGTTGAATAGAGAATTGAAGCCTTGAGGGCATTGTTACATTTCAACCATTAGGTAATCAAACCGGCAACTTTGCAATGAATGTCTACAATTTTCTCTTGTCATCTTAATTGAGTTGTCTAAAGATAATTTACTGTTAATTACTACAAATAATAATAATGGTCGACCTTATTGTGGGGACTATGTGGATACAAATGGAATGCTGCAATTATTATTTATGAATACAAATGGGATGCTGCAATTACAACAATAAATAATAATTATTTATGCAAATTGGATGAGGATATCTTATGAAATAAATAAATGCTGAATAATTAAAATTTAACAAACCTTTTGCAAAACAGTATGTGTGTACAGTATGTAAATTTAATTGATATTAAAGTTTAAAATTCTGTTAGGCAAAGTTTGATGAGCATTGTTCAGAATTCAGATGACATTTAAAATGATAAAACAGCTTAATATGTTAAATTCTGATAAGTTAGTTAAAAAAAATCATTGCTGGCAGAAAATTTACAGAGTGCAAAAAATGCTATTAATTGTTAAACATCCATTTATTATTTAATTAACATTTGTTTATAATTCTCCAGTAACTTTCAGTTGGAATCTAATAGTAATAACTTAAAAAATTGTAAAAAATGTTGGCGGTTTCATTCTAGATTTTGACCTTCTACATCGTCAACTGCTGACTGCATTTGGGAAAAAGTTCTTATGAGTATCTACAGAATATGCAAGTTTATATAGGCCTACTACCAGTAGTCAGATTTAGGTGGCAGTAAACATTGATAGGTGGATATTAAAAATACTTGATTAAGGTAACGGAAGGTGTTTATAATTTGGCAGGCTTGATATGTAACTCAATTTCAAAATCGTAGGATAACACTTCTAAAGATAACAAATCCAGACAGTGACAAATGGACCATTCCATTAATCAAATGGGGAAGTCATCAAGGTGTAAAATAATTATATAATATTACCAAATAGAAAAACTCAGTCCTCATGTCTGAACTCCCCCCATTGGAGACTTCTGATAACACAGGTGTAAAAATAGCAATATTGACAAAAATGAGTTTCATTCATTTTCAATTCATCTAATTAAAAAACTATTGATTTTCTAGAAGCATTATATTGATGTACTATATCTACTTCACAACTAGTGTAGTGTATGACACTGTAACTAGGCAAATTATAATGTAACCAAGTCTGCTACAATATTTATCATTAGGCCAACATTCTGTACCATAAAAAACTAAAAATTAGGATTAAATACATTATTTTCATCTATAAATTTACCTATCTATATCCATATTTACCTATTTAATCCTCCTGTTTAAATCCCCCACTGGGATATTAGAAGGATAACCAACCAAGTATCTATATTAATATTACCATATTTATAATATTTACTGTATGAGTTTCTTTATTTAAAAATGGTAGTTTTAGTAGACTTTAGTTGTATACTAAATACATTAAAAAATTTAAAAAATGTTATGTTCTATGGTAATCCAATGAACTAATTTAGTAACAAGAAGTGTTAAAATGCATTTTTGTGTCCCATTGAACATCAAGCATTAACAAAAATGTATTTGTTACCTGTCAGCTGATATAAGACAGAAAAAATTGAATAGGCTTGCCGTCAACCAGACTAGAAACATCTGTTTTATGGTTGAGTTTATGGAAAGTAGAACTGCTGAAAACCGTAAGTGAACACTTGATTGCTGACTATGTGCTGTGCATGCTGAACTATCATGTACACACACACATGCAGATCTGTTAAGGTGACAGACCATGACAAAATTGAATAAAGTTCAGCATAAATCTGATTATATCTGACAGATTATAATACACTACATTGCAAACGCTATTCATCTCCAAACATGAAATGAGTTTATTTAAAGCCCCATTCCCGGCAAAATTTCAATTTTTAAGAAAAATCTAATTTTTGTATAATGTTATAAAGATTTATAAATATAATACGGAATTGCTAGTTTAACTGAATTTAGACATTCCTAAGAATGAAAA